GATTTGATTTTCAAATCAAATATTCAAATGTCAAATCGAATTGCGGAACCCTAATAACTGCTATCTCAGCTTCGTAACAATTTTATTAGTAAAAAATGTTTTCAAAGCTAGGAACACATTTTTTTACTAGATTTCTTAGTAAAAAAATGTCTCTGAAGCTGTGGAGTCGTTTTTTATGCTATTTCTTAGTAAAATAGCGTCTTTGAAACTGCAGATGCATTTTTACTATATTTTCTTAGTAAAATAACGTCTCTGAAGTCGTGAAAGCATTTTTTTACTATTTTTTTTTAGTAAAAAAAGGCATTTTCAAAGCCATAGAAGCACTTTTTACTATGGTTTTCTTAGTAAAAAAGGCATTTCTGAAGCTGCGAAGGCACTTTTTGCTATAGTTTTCTTATAAAAAGGCATTTTTGAAGTTGTGAAGACACTTTTTACTATGAGTTTTTTAGTAACAGCTATTCTTAAAACTTTGGAGATGGCTTTAATATTGATTCAAATCAAATCAAATATTTAAATACTTTATTTGAATTTGATTAAATCGAATCAAACATTAATTTGAATTTGATCAATAAATCATTCTTTGTTTTGAATTGATTGAATCAAATCAAATATTCAAATATCAAATTGAATTGCGGATTTTAAGTATAACAAATAACTAGTAATGTGTATTTATATTTTCAATAGTATAAATATTGATTAAAAGTTTTCAAGCCAAATAATTTTATTAGAAAATTATTTTTCTAATTTTTTAAAGGTATATTTAATAGTATTTTTAACCTTATAAGAGTATATTACTGTAAATAACTATCAATTTTTATAATTTTTGCCAAATCATATGATAGAATTAGATAAATGTTTACTAAAAGATATTAGTATTGAAAAATAATTTTGATTAATGTATTAAAGAAAAACAAATATAAAATAAAGTTTATAAGAATACAAGTAAAAAAATAACAAATGATAATCATTTAGAAAAAAAAAACTCAAAACTGCTAGAGTTTCATATTTTTAATTGATTATAAATCTATGAATAATTAAAATTTCCAAAAGTAAAGATATAACTTATATTTGATATCTAATGAAGAAATTACAATTTATAGAAAAGAAATACTTGATAAATATTTAAAAATTAAAAAACATTTAATTGTAGAAAAAACAAAAAGAAAATCAGAATAATAATATTATTAGATTTGTAAAGCAATATGATAAAGATAAAGTTACTATAATTTAACAAATATAATGTGTATTTTATGATAAAAAATTATATTTTATTAAATAAATATTTAAAAAAAACTGTCACTAATTTGTTTTCTGAGTTAAAATTACTTAAATATTTATGTAACATTCTGTATAACTAATTATTAAATTAATAAATTTAGAATATATTTAACTTCTTTTATAATCATACCTCAAAACCATAAAATGATATAACTATATAAAGGTATGTTAATTAAAGGTTATAATTACTTATATGTAAAATTTTATATTAATTAATTTTATAATTAATGTAAGATTTTAAACTTTTGTTAAAAATTTTAAAGAAATAAGTATAAATTTAATTATCTATTAATATAAATTAAACATAAAATCAAAATTAATAAATATTGCTAAATAGTCAATAATCAATATTATCATATCATATAATTATTATAGATAAGTCTTCAAAAGTTTACGCATATGATCGTAACTGTTAAATATTTTAAAATCTAGTAATTTAAATTAAACCAAAATTTAATATATTATAAACATAATTTAATAATATAATATATAAAAATTTGAGCTAATTTAAATTGTTAAATACTACGATTATTAATATAAATTATATTGTATAAATTTTTTTTAATAATTTTTATAATATACAGTATATAATAGATATAATTTCTCAACAATCTACAAATATAATTAGCTCATATTTTTATATATTATAACATTAGATTGTAATAATAATATATTAAATTTTAGTCTAATTTGAATCACTAAATTTTGAGATATTCATTCGTGACAATTGTATACAAAAACTTTAATAATTTTTATAAAATATAATTTTATTATTATTTTAAATTTCTCATCAATCAGTAATTAAATTAGCCCAATTTTTAATATATTAAAAATATATTATTTATTTATAATATATAAAAGTTTTGTTACTAGATTAAGAAATGATATTAAATATATTAAAAAGTGTATATAAACTTTTGAAAACCTTTTATATATAAAAAAATCTAAGTAAAAAGTACAATTTTGATTAATACTGCTCTGTTTCGCTCTGTTTCTTATGAAAAAACTATTATTCGAATTCTCAAAACTAGACAAATCCAATGAACTAATATACATCAAATTTTGATTAACTAATCATGAGATATTCGTAATTGAATTTTGAAATCAGGTTCCTTTAAGTAGAATTTATTGAATTATAATTTCAGCTGATAATTCAATTGTAAATATCTTGAGATTGGATGATTTGAAATCAATATTTATTAGCTTATTGGATTTGAGAATTTTTGTTTCTTAAGAAACAGAGCAGTATTTTTTTTAGCTATTTTGGATACTATTTGTATATTGATATGATTTACAGTGATTATATAATATATTATTATGATTATAAAATGGGTATTTTCTTGTTTAAAGAGGGAGTGTGATTATATTATTTAAATTCCATTTTTATTTTATATATAAATAATTTCACAAGTTGCGTTATTATAAAAAGTGAGGCATATTACAGTTTACTGTGATAGCTAGTAATCATATTAAGTTCTCATTTGATATTATGTAAGCAAATTGCTAAACTAATCTAGCTACTCATGTTTCGTCATTACTTTTAGAACATCGTAAGCATTATTTATTAATACTAGTAAAAATTACCTAGTATTATAAACATTTTTTTTATACTTATATATAATAATTCAAATATTAATTTAATTTTTCCAACTGAACAAAATTTCTAAGAAGTTCGATTACATTCCACACATATTGATTATCTTTTACTGATAGTGATTAACGAAACTCCGATGTAACAGGCTAAACAACTTGATTCAACGGAAATAATCATCTGAGTATCATCTGATCACAATAACAGGACCACAATACTAGTATGTAGTCCAGGCATTTTTCAAAGCAACATCAGCCATCGTCACCTGAAAATCAACTGTTTGTGGTGAAGTAAATGTATGACAATGTACCAAAATGATGCATATCACCATTTTCAGAAATATTACGTCATCTACATGTCACAAGATGGTCACAAGATATCACCAGCTTTCCAGTCAATATCTTTTGCCCTCCTCCCCAGAAGACTTGAACCCCTTTTCTTCAACTCAAGAGGGAATATCAATAAAAACCGTGACCGTTTTTTTTTTTTACAGTTCACCTGACTTTGAACCGTGAGACGTACAGCAACTTCAAGAACGCACTGACTATTCGCGTTGTGGTTTTTTTATTGTTAACCTTTACAAAAAATCAAACTTTGAAATATTTTTTTAAAAAAATGGCTGAAGAAACCACCAGCGCACTTTTAAAAATGGTAAGTTCTTTGACTTTATTTATGCATTTTTATTTCCATTGAGTTTATACGCGCGATCAATGTGTATTGTAGCAGGCATATTCAATGGTCGTAATACAAGTATTTATTATTATGATTATTATTATTATTATTACAATTCCCATTCCAAATTAATATTTCTTTTAGGGTATTTACAAAGAAAGCCCTTCAAAATCAACAAAAATTCCTTCAACAAAGGATGAAGCCCAAACAGTCCCCTCTACTATCCCTACAACGCAAACACAAACTCAAATCCAAACTCAACAAAAAAATATTCCCACAACTTCGATCCAACCTAGGTATCAATTAAATTTATAATGTATAATATCTTATATTTTAAATTAAAAATAATTTACCTTTCTTTTTTGACATTTCGTTCTAGTGGACAACAAAATATGCTTCCAGGACTTCCTTCTACTCCTCAACAAAAACAGGATTCTGTAACGATCCATTCTGGTCCTTTACCTATTCAACCTGCACCACACACTCCTCAACATGGTGTTACGCCACAATCCCAACAGCATACCCCGTTAAGGCCTAATTTATCTGCAACAACGACACCCCAGACAACACCAAGTGGTAAACCTCCTGTCGGTAGCGACGAATGGCATCGACAACGTCGCGAGAATCACAAAGAGGTTGAGCGTCGTCGTCGTGATACGATCAACGCTGGTATTAATGATTTAGCCAAGATTGTACCTGGTTGTGAGAAAAATAAAGGAAGTATTCTCAATAGGGCGGTTCAATATATTCAGCAGCTTAAAGAGAATGAGGCTGCGAACATCGAGAAGTGGACATTGGAGAAATTGTTAACAGATCAAGCCCTTCAGGAATTACAAACACAAGTAGAAATGCTCAAATCTGAAAATGGGAGACTTAGGGCAGAATTAGAAGAATTACAGGGTCCATCAAAAAAGAAACAACGAACTGATTGATTAATAATATTTTTAATATGGATGCCAGTTAATATTATTAGTTTGGGAGCTGGCTCATTATCTTTGGAAATCTTAAAAGATATTGAGATATATATATATATGTTTTGTTTTTTTTTTTTGTTTTTTTTTTGTTTTTTTTT